AAACATCTAATTAATCCAAAATGTATGTGTATGTGTATGCCATAATAACCATATAATATTCAAATGATGTCATTCTCAATATTTATTATCATTTATCATCATATTTCAAGCCTATAGGCCCTTTTACAGCTTACGTCATGATTACAACACAGTGTTAACTTGTTCTGTGTGTTCTAGTCACACCTGACTCCCCAAATTGGCTATTATAGCCAGGTTTAAATCCTCATCATCTGAACAGTCATCAGAAAGAGTAGCCATGAGTGTTAAATATGAAGAGTAGTCCTCATCATGACCACTAGTGCTAGGGTCACAAACACTTCTTGCACAGCTGCCTCCGTCATAACCACTTGTACCTGCACTGCCATGACTTCCTGCAAGGCTACCTACATAATGACTACTCTCTCCAGAGTTGCCAACATTTCCTTGCATTACTCTTGGCCTTTTCACAACACTGTTGGTGATATGGTTGTTGCCATAGCTGTCATCATCACTAGTAGTGACAGGGTTGCCATTTCCATCGTCAAGGCTAAACCTTGCTACATCTCTTGTGGTGCCATGGCTGCTCATGCCTGTCTGTATTTGTGGAGTACCATTTTCAACACAATCATCATCGCTGTTTGTAGTAGTTGTACACGTGCTTGACATTGATCCAGGAGTGACATTAGAAGGCTCAATTTCTTCGTCAGAATCAGTCTTAGGGAAAGACAAAAGAAATATTTACAATTTTTAAAATACTATAAATAACCATAATGATAACATGCAAGCATGCAACAGATAAATGTTGGAAACCTTTATACCTTTTTCTTTGCTTTGATTGCTGTAAAATCTTTCAAACTGCTTTCATTTAATATATAATTTATATTGCCATGGGCAAAAAACAGTCTATATTTTTTTATCAAAAGAAAATTTTATTTAGCACAATTGAGTGGTTAAAAAAGCTAACTTACTAAAAGGGTCCTTGATGGCCTCACATATAGGGCCTTGGTCTTGTAAACCTTATGGATTAGCATCCCATTCAGCTCCTAACCTTCCTGGAGCTTAGGTGTGTTAGGGTGATTTTTATGCACTTATGCACTTATGAATGATTTTATTTTATAGCACACATAAGTTTACATACTTATATGTCACAGTTATGTTTACATAGTTACATATCACCCTATGCTACATATCACTGGTTAATATTTACTGTTAGTCACTGAGGCACTGTTCAACATTATAGGGTCTTGTCCACTAAATTACTGAATCTCATTAGATTTACAGCTCTGGCTAAGAGACTCCACAGTGAATTTATTATCACCACTGAGCTACTGGAGCCAGGGGAGTTATGGTTCACTGGGACTCCAAGGTTAGTTAAACAGAGATTAGCTCTGGAGGCTAGCGGAGGGGGAAGCTTCAAAAGTAGGG